CAGCAGCAGCAGCAGCCGCAGCATCAGCAGCAGTAGCAGCAGCAGCAGCAGCAGCAGCAGTAGCAGTCGTAGTAGTAGTAGCCCTGCGAAGCCAGAGACTACAAGGCGCCCAATTTCAACACTTTATTCATGACGTTGCCAATCACAAGGTGTTGACACGAGCTTCTGCTTGTCTTCAGATGTGGATGGTTGTGCCAGGTGTCTTCATGATCGACTGTGCGTTGTACGGGATGCCGTAGATGCAGCCGTTGCTGCCAAGCACAGCCCCCAGCCACTTGTACTTGCCAGGGAAAGGGCCTCCTGCGTACCATGCCAGGGAAGCTGAAAGGTCCCACCTTCTGCTCTTAACACAATATTTTGCCTTACCTTATTACGATAATACGATTCATGATAGCATGTTATACAATTTTTGGTATTAAAACATGTAGTACTACATTGCAGTCTAACTGCGCCAGGAACCCTAAGTGCAGAAGCCCCAGGCTGGAGAGACATCCTCAAGTACAGGATTTGGTTGCCCGGTCCTATGGTCTTAACCTCGCCGGTGGCAGGAACGACCTTGAGAACTGTCTCTGCATGGGCAGGAATTCCATAGATGGCTCCATCCGCCCCTACCACCCCACCATGCCACTTCCAGCTACCCTCCGGCAAGTTGCCGATGGTGCTCACCTTGCCTGGCATGGCGGCTCGCAACTCCGCAAGTCCACTGAAGAGCCAAGGACGATACTCTCCATGCTGCAAATGGTCTTGTCGCACAGCAAATATCATCATATTATTATTCTTCTTCTTCTTCATTGTCATCGTCGCCGCCATCGTCATCATCATCATCATCATCACCATCGTCATCATCATCATCATCATCATCATCAGCTTCGTCATTGTCATGATGATCCTCATTGTCATCGTCGCCGCCATCGTCATCGTCATCATCATCATCATCATCATCATCATCACCATCATCACCATCAGCATCATCAGCAGCATCGGCCTCGTCATCCTCATCATCCTCACTTTCATCCTCTTCATCATCGTGGCAACCTCTGACATTCGCGACCCAGTGACAGCTAAGACAATTGCAACAGCACCTAGTTCTATGCGCATACTTGTCTGCTTCTAGCATCGAGCTCGATTCATGCCGACTGCTGCCTGTTTGCGGATCGATCTTAAGCACGCTGTTGGCATAGTACGGCATTCCGTAGATGCAGCCATCGGATCCCAGTAGGCCTCCGTACCATTTCCATCGTCCGGGCATCTTGTCACCTATTGTCTCGGCTCGATCACTTTCCGGATCAATTCGCAGAACCGATTCAGCTTCGGCTGGAATGCAATAGATTGCACCATCCGGCGCAACAACAGCTCCATGCCATTTCCACTTCCCCTCAGGCAGACTGCCGAAGGTGCTAACCTCTTTGGTGGTAGGCGAAATTTTCAGCACTGACTTTGCACGCGCTGGAATACCAAAAATATTGCCGTTGCCGGCCATCAGACCCCGGGACCATTTGAAGGTGCCCTGCTCCGCAAAGCTTCCGAAGGTAGATATGTGACTGTCCGCAGTGGAGATCTGAAGCACTGAATCTTTGTTGCAAGGTATACCTCACAGTTCTGGTGTGGTCTGCTTCACCGACGAAGAACATACATTGCACGGGCTCTACTTTACAACGTAATTTGGTCTGATGAAATGACTAGTCGCAATAGATGTTGCCATCTAGGCCAAGCACGCCGCCCAGCCATTTGTTTTTGCCTGAAAGCAGCTGGCTGCCCCGATGAAGGAGGCACGCGCTGGCGCGGCAGCAGGTCCTGAACCAGAGTGCGAACCCTAAAACCCTAAACCCTGAACCCTAAAACCCTAAAGCCCCAAACCCTAAACCCTAAAACCCCAAACCCTAAAGCCTGAAGCCTGAACCCTATTCCGCACCAACCTCCTTAGTATGTGTATATATATTATATATATATATAGATAGAGAGAGAGAGTACCCCTATGAATCCCTTATATAGGAACCCTTATAGTTCCTTTAGAGGTTTCAGAGCTTATGGTCTAGGGCTTCCTTATTTTGACATCCACTTGCATAATGTCCTTATCAAAAGCAGGCTGCTTGGGGCTTTTTGGCGAACCCCTCTAAGACTCGCCCGACACCCTAGACCCTAAACCCGAATAGACTCCTAAGACTCGCCCGACACCCCGAAACCACAAGAGCCAGCCTCACCATGCGGGAACCGCCGGGCCATGGGTGACCCAGCCAGGTGCGCCCGGGAGCCCAGGCCACCGCAACATGAAGCCCGAAGATCAGAGCCTGGGATCTTCTCCCTGGTTCTTAGTAGGGAATGGGGGAATGGGTTATTGGGACTAGGGGACCTTAAGGGACTATCATAGGGACCATTGCCCCATTTCCTACTAAGAACCAGACAGTCGTTTCCGGGGCTAGCTGGGGTTTGCTTTCGGGAGGGTTTAGGGTTTAGGGGTTTAGGGGTTTAGGGGTTAAGGGTTTAGGGTTTAAGGGTTAAGGGTTTACTGGTTCCCTGTTGGGGCCACATTAACAATGATCATTTTCAATCCTTGTTGGGTTTTATTAGAACGAAAGTGTGAAACTGTATCCAACAAGGACCCAGTTTAGGGCTCTCGATGAGGAACTCAATTTCGGCTGCCATCAGAAAGGCGGAGCATGCTCCTGTTGTGAAAGCACTCGCAACTTAAACCCGAAACCCTAAAACCCTTCCCAGAGAGCCCAATACCCCCTTAATTAAGGAATCTACCTTAAATCGTATTATTAAGGCCCCTATAATTTAAGGTATATCTGCCTTAAATCATATTATAAGGCCCCTATAATTTAAGGTACATTCCTTAAATTAAGGGGTATTGGGTTCTCTGGGTTGTGGCCTTTTTTAAACGCACCGAGGAGCTCCGATCTGCAGGGGCGCTTTCTGCTTCTTCGCCATATGGACACGGGTTTAGGGTTGAGGGTACCGTGCGCGGCCAGATTTGAAGAGTTTTGAGAATGCATGCATAGGGTGACATCAAGCGTTTAGGGTTTAGGGTCATTAGTCCTATAGGTGTATCTTACTTAGGAGAACCCTGCTATGTAGGGCCTATCCTAGGGTCGGGCATGTTCTGAAAAGTGCCAACTCTAGGCTCACAGTGCGTCTTCATTATGACAATTGCTTGGTCAAGGGTCTAGGGCGGGCTCAGGGTTTTGACTTCGCGTCAGTACAGGACTTCACATGCCTGAATGGATCTAAGGTCAGCTGCTGATCTGCAAAGAACATACATGTGCCGGGCGTGAGCTGTCTGAACACGGAGCAAGCTGAGAGACTATTTACTGCTGCGGCCTGAAGAATCATGAAAACCCTAAACCCTAAACCGTGCTGTGGCCTGAAAAACCAGTCAGTTCTATAATGATAAACTGCGCTAAACAAGATTGCAAACTCCAGGCCCAAACTCAATAAACCCCGTAAGCCCTACAACTCTAAATCTTAAACCCAAAATCCTAGAAACCCTATAAGCCCTATAACTCTACACCTTAAGCCCCGAAACCCTATAAACCCTATAAGCCCTTTAACTCTAAACCTTAAACCCTAAACCTTCAACCCTAGACCGTGTACTTGCCGCTCATGACAACCCATCAGCCAGGTGGAAGCGCCGAGCATCCGGCTTCATCCCACGGCACAAGAACTGATCCCAAACCTTGCATCAGGTTTAGGCTTCAGGGTTATAGGGTTTAGGCTTTAGGGTTCAGGGTTGCAGGGTTTAGGCTTCAGGGTTAGAGGGTTTAGGCTTTAGGGTCGAGGGTTATAGGGTTTAAGCTTCAGGATTCAGGGTTAGAGGGTTTAGGCTTGCGGCTTTAGGGGTCTTGCACCGCATGGTGGTTTCTGACACTTAGGGGACCCCACTGGGGTTAACCTTATTATTGAGATTCTCTGCACGTTCCGACTGCTTAGTGTGTAGAAGAGGCCACATGAAGGTTTCCGAAAATAGGGGACCCTAATATAGGTCCCCTAAATAGTAGGATCCTCATTATAAGGACCCCCCCAAAATAAGGTACCCCTAATTTTCGGAAAGTCCCACATGGCATCCCGAAACATGCACCTTCTGACAGCGTGGGTTCCTGCGATCTCCTCGGCTTCATGCTTCTGGGGTTCTCCTGAGATGTGGCACGTTCCGAAAATTAGGGTACCTTATTTTGGTGTCCTTATAATAAGGATCCTACTATTTGGGGTACTTACTATATTAGGGTCCTTATAATAAGGATCCTACTATTTAGGGTATTAGGGTCCCCTATTTTCGGAAATCCCCATGTACTGAGGCTGCAGCTCTGAGCAGCTGCGGAAAGGGAAGCGAATAGGCGAAGAGCGTCAAGAACCTTCCCGGGCCAAACCCACCCGAAACCCCAAAGCAACATCTTGGCAAACCAACGAGAAAGTACCCTTAACAGAACCTTTCGGTCCTAAATCTTGGGTATTTGGGATTTTTGTCGATGGCTAAAGTCGGGGGCCCTAATACTTCGAAACAGTTCAGGGGGTTATAGTACACTCCAGCTGCAACTAGAAATCTTACTGGAATCACTCCTTAGTCGGGATTCTAAACTATTTCGGGGAACGGGGAACTACCCAAAACGCTAAACCCGCAAACCCTAAATCCTACGGCTGATGACACAAATCCTGCGTTACCTATAATAAGGAATATACCATATAATTCCTATAGTTTAGGGTGCTTAAGGTAATGCAGGATTTATATCATCAACAGTAGTTGCACGCTCGAGCCCTGAACATTGGCCCCGCCACTGCGTAGCGTAGAACTCTGCGCTGATGTTGAAGCGATCGAAGGTAGCTGCAAGATCCGGCAAGTATGCCTGATCGAGATCTCCGTTCAACATCGGGAGCTGACTCCAGCTCAAATCTTATGATGCGATAATGCTCATCTAAGTTTAAGCTGTATATACCGAAACATATATATATATAGATAGACAGATGTAGTTAGATACAAATATAGGTATGCATGCATACATACATACATACATACATACACACATACATATATATATATACACATACATACACACACTCTTACATAGATGCATGCATGTTATGTCATGATACCAGTATGTGGATGTGTATGTGTGTCTACATATATATATATATGTACATATATACATACACATGTATACGTATACATATACATATACATATACATATACATATACATATACATATACATATACATATACATATACATATACACAAATTATATATATATATATGTATATGTATATATATATATATATATATGTATAATATATGTATATGTATATATATATATGTATATATATATATGTATACATACATACATACATACATACATACATACATACATACACGCATATGATCAAAGAACTAACAGGACATTTTGCAGACGATACTACAGCTGACGCCGAGGCATGCGCACATCTCTAGGCTGACGGGATGCAGGGAAGCAGCACAACGAGACAAAGAAGATCGGCGATGCAAAGTACACCACAGACCGATGAGTTCTTGGAGTTGGAGGGTGTGGGATTCAAGGAAACGAGGTATGAGTCAAAGTAGCGCAAGGAAGTGTGCTCAGAGGCCCCAAACTGAAGTGCTCACCCGCAAATCCTGACACTTGAAGCGCTGCCCATTGGCGGGGTTGGGAAGTATGTAGCGGCTGGGCGCAAGGCTACTCGAAGCCTGTACTTTGAGTTATAATTATAAGTACCTGAGATCGGACCTTCAAATCGCTACAACTACAGCTGCCTTGCTTCATAACTAAACAAGAACTAGAGCCCCTGTAAAAGATCCTAGTGAAACCGAACCCTCTTTAACCCTCATTGCAAGCTCTTAGAACCCTCTTCATGTCAGTCAAGATTGATGCTGTGTGATCGCCAAAACTCGAGCAGGCCCGAAGCCGTTTGCTCGGAGTCAGCAGATCAGCGCAACGCGAGAATCATGGATTCAGGATTTAGTATGTAGGAAGTTTCTAATACAGGAACCGATAATTCGAGTAGGGTTTTGGAGTATAATATATACTACTTATACCAGGGAATCCCAAAACAGTAATTACTGGTAACTATTTATGCCCCCTTCTTTTTGCCCTGTAGTTCGTCCAAATCCCAGAACCCTTAACCCCTCGGCAAGATGAGTCCCCACTGCGCTTGTTTTGCGTTTCTGAGCGAGGCGGCAGAACAAGGTCACTCCTTGTCGGCCTCGATCCGTGCCTCCAGCTCCTTTCTGCAGGGGACTGAAGTAAGTTTTTGGGTACTTCTTTAAATTTCAATGTCCTGTTTACAAGGGTGTCGTACTATCTTTATTGGGAGCGAAAAAAGGGCCCTTAGGTTAGATAAATATCCATTTTCTAGATAAAGCTATCATTGCCCTCAGTGGGCCTGTACGATCTAAAAGCTTACAAACTACTTGCAACCAGTTTGTTAAGTTTCTTGATGAGTAAAGCAAACCACGAAAAACCACAACAACAACAAGGCACTGCGATACAATATAGCGGCCCTTCATGACTTGAATATGGTGTCAAGAAGGAAGAAACACACACGCAAGCCGAGCAAGCAAGCAAGAAGGCAAACAAGAAAAGAGGCGACACATCACATGCTTACGTACATATTTACAGCAGCATAACAAGCGAGTACTTCACGATAGCAGCATTACCTATATGGGAAACCCCAAAACCCGTACCCCTAAGTTCAAGCTTTTTTCCTGCCCTGTGCGATGTCCTCCCAAGCCCGCCAGTATGCAATGGTGGCGAGCGCAACCTCAGAATTCACAAACATAGTAGCGGA